GGGTGCATCCCCCGGGGAGCCCACCCCAGCTCCCCGCCTGCCCCCTTCCCAGTGCCGCAGGCAAGGGCTGCGCTGCCTGCTGCCATCTCAGCCTCATCCCAGTCCTGACGGTGGGGGCAGATGGGCAGGGAGAGGTTTTCAGGCTCCCCAGCCTGGGGGGCTGAATTATGCCCGGCACAGCTGGACAGAGAGGGCACAGGGGGCTGATGCTGGAGGCTGGCTTGATGCTACAGTCAGGTGTCACGTAGTGCGTCCTGCCCCGCTCCCCGTTAGGGTTTCTGGAGCTCACCAGTGCCCCCTCTCCCCGAGTCCCTCCCGTGGGCTCCCCAGGCACCTACTTTTCTTGCAGTCGGGATCAGCGTGGATCTTGCGCACTAACAGTCCATGCTTGTAGGTGGCGATGCTGGAGTCTTGGGAGAAGTCCAGAAAGGGGTTACTGCAGCTGCTGATGCGCTTGATGGACTTAGGGTTGGGGTCTGCCAGCTCCGAGAGGGACTTTCTCAGCTCCTCCTCATCTCTGCCAGGCACAGATTTGGGTGGGGAAAGGGTTTGTTACCTTGCTGGGGAAAGCAAATACCAAGCCTCCCACTTGTGGTGCCACTTTTAGGCCTGGCTTCTGAAAGGGAGGCCAGGAGAGGCAGACCAGGCTGAGCAGTCTCCCATCACCACTGGAGAGCATCCCAAACCCAGTCATGCCTCTGTGACCCTGCCCCGCTAGGCTGGCAGCTGAGGTGCTGCCTGGCCCTTCGAAAGACAAGGCATGGGGGTGTCTGCTGCTGGCTCAGGGTGGGGGGGCCCTGCCTGCCCCAGGGAGTGAGGAGCATTTTTGGACAGGGCTGGGACTGATGCCAGCCAAACCGATGTGCCAGGAGCTGTAGAGGAGCAGTGCCCTGGGGCTTGGCACCACTACAGCCCCCCTGGCCCATGGTGGACAGGCTCACAGGCAGGAGCTGGAAGGAGAGAAGGCACAGAGGGAAACCCCCTCAAAGAGAGACCCAGGCTGCGGTCCCCACTCCTTCATGGCAGCAGTTGGGCTATGGGGATCAGACCCACCAGCAAAGGGATGTGAGGAGCCTGTGGAGGGGAGGCCTCGGGCAGAACCGGGGCTCCAGATCATGGCCCCTCGCACTGCGGGCAGGCTGCATCGATGCTGCTCCCCCCGCCTGGCAGGAAGATGTGGGAGCCCAGAGCTGCTGCCTCCCCCCTCCCTCAGACCCGCTCACTGCTAATTAAACCCCTCAGCATCTGCCGGCGTCTCCATGGCAGCAGCCCGAGTGCATTGGCTCAGCGCTGGCGGTACCGCCGGGCTGATTAATCCCCGCAGCGCGGGCGCTGCCGCTCCTGCTGCTGGAGATGGCAGCCGTGGGGGGGG